ACATAAAATGTTTATCACAGTGCAAATGAAATCCGCAGCTCACAGTGTTACGCCATGCACTCAACTCAAAAACTGGGCAACGAAACTAAATCCTTCCAGTCTACAAATCGAGCAAAAATGCAACAGCCACCGTCTGGCAAGAGAAAAAAATTGCCACGGTTACAAAAGGTGGCCGTGCCTAGCGTCCATTTTGACCTGAAACATTATTTGATGCTTAATAAACGGTCACCCCAGCAGTACCCTCACTATTAGCTGGGGAAGAGGCTTAGGACATTACATCCACTTGCAGGCGTCGCCCCTTTAACGACCTGACTGCCTTCGTTAACGACTGTTCACCCAACAGCCATGCAGTTCTTTGGCACGAAGGAGACACCTTGAACATTGGGTTTCGGACTACCGACTCCCTACATTATCGCTACAGGAAACACAATGAGACCATGGAAATGAGATGTATGAGAAGGGCTATAGAAGTGACCATAAGAGATAAGATCAGGAAAAAGATCATAGGAGAAAAAGTCGGCACAGAACCAATTCTAAATTACATACGAAGACAGCAAGTGAAATGGTTTGCCCACTTAGAGAGAATGCCTTGTGACACCATACCATACAAAGCATACATGGAAAGAGAAGAAGGTCGTAGAGCAAGAGGTAGACCAAGAACAAAATGGAAGGATAACATCAGAGAAACTCTACAACAGCACTATGTACCTATGGTCGAGGCAGCCAGAAGAGTTAGAAACAGAACCTTATATCTCCCTCGACACCCACAGCGGTAAAGAGGAAGTGAAGAAGTGAAGAAGAATCCCTACAAGATGTTATGTTATCACAATCGACGTCACTGCACATTGGGCATTCCTATGCGTGCCCAGTCCTTCGTTGCAGCAGCCACTCCAAAGTACTTTTACTAATAGTTCTACCATATTGTCCTCTTCTCCTTCTGTACCTTGTAGATGCTGCTGCATCGGATCTCAGCACGGACGCACGAACTCCGTAGCTCCGGTGAGGTTCAGTTTTGGTCAGATTGGTGCTACCAGTGCCGAACATGGACACGTACTCTAATTAATGAGCGGAAAAGATAACGACGAAGATGAGACGTCTTAAGAAAACTGCCACAAACAAACAAACAAATTATAAAACTAGAAAGATAGGACGGAAGCCGGACACAGAATTCATGAGAAAGCAACAAACGAGACGGTCAGGTCATCTGACGTAAAAAAAACTCTGGTATCAGCTGCCACAGAGAGTCACACTGAAGAAAGATGCGTACAAAAACTAGCAACTGGTATACAGAAATAAAGACACACTTTCTAGAGTTCATTATCGTAAGCTGCCAAACACTTACCTCTCCACCTTCCTTTGCTGAGGGAACTGGAAAAAAGAAGGATAGTTGTGTTGTTTTCTTGAAATAATTATTTCTTCTCTTGCAATTATTCTTGCCGTGGTTGATGCTATTCCTACTTTTGATTTAATACAACTGAACGACAGATTATTTAGCACTTGCCAACATTTCCTTGTGTTAATTTGTTGCTTAGTTTCGTTAAATGTTTTTTACTCACTGTGTGTCATCACTTCACATTCATATTATACTTTGCTATATATATATATATATATATATATATATATATATATATATATATATATATATATATATACATATATATATATAAATATATATATACATATACATATACCGTGAGCTGTGGGGTCAAGTATATTTTTGCCTGTTGTCCAAGAGCTACACAAACATTGGGGATGGCTGATAACCCTCAAAATGGCAGGCACTTTTGCGGGATCCATGCCGGGTGTCGTGACTTTTTTACTGCACAGCCAGTTATCTGAAATTCTGATATAGAACCGAAATGGTTGACACATCTGACGGCTGCCTTATGCATTTTAGTTTGCGTGTGCAAGTGTCAAGATGTTGCTGTATCAGTGAGTTTTTTTTCCCACTTAAAACACACACACACACACACACACACACACACACACAGTGATGGACATTTTGTGTGGTCTCCACTGACTAGATGACGAAGCTGTTATGGGGCCACACGTCTGCAGCCATGTTTGAACCTCAGTTAACGAGTATGATAAATTTGAACCTCAGTTAACGAGTATGATATATTTGAACCTCAGTTAACGAGTATGATAAATTTGAACCTCAGTAAACGAGTATGATATATTTGAACCTCAGTTAACGAGTATGATATATTTGAACCTCAGTTAACGAGTATGATATATTTGAACCTCTGTTAACGAGTATGACATATTTGAACCACAGTTAACGAGTATGATATATTTGAACCTCAGTTAACGAGTATGCTATATTTGAACCTCAGTTAACGAGTATGATATATTTGAACCTCAGTTAACGAGTTTGATAAATTTGAACCTCAGTAAACGAGTATGATATATTTGAACCTCAGTTAACGAGTATGATATATTTGAACCTCAGTTAACGAGTATGATATATTTGAACCTCTGTTAACGAGTATGATATATTTGAACCTCAGTTAACGAGTATGAAATATTTGAACCTCAGTTAACGAGTTTGATAAATTTGAACCTCAGTTAACGAGTATGATATATTTGAACCTCAGTTAACGAGTATGATATATTTGAACCTCAGTTAACGAGTATGATAAATTTGAACCTCAGTTAACGAGTATGATATATTTGAACCTCAGTTAACGAGTATGATATATTAGAACCTCAGTTAACGAGTATGATATATTTGAACCTCTGTTAACGAGAATGATATATTTGAACCTCAGTTAACGAGTATGAAATATTTGAACCTCAGTTAACGAGTATGATATATTTGAACCTCAGTTAACAAGTATGATATATTTGAACCTCTGTTAACGAGTATGATATATTTGAACCTCAGTTAACGAGTTTGATAAATTTGAACCTCAGTTAACGAGTATGATATATTTGAACCTCAGTTAACGAGTATGATATATTTGAACCTTAGTTAACGAGGATGATATATTTGAACCTCAGTTAACGAGTATGATATATTTGAACCTCAGTTAACGAGTATGATATATTTGAACCTCAGTTAACGAGTATGATATATTTGAACCTCAGTTAACGAGTATGATATATTTGAACCTCTGTTAACGAGTATGATATATTTGAACCTCTGTTAACGAATATGATATATCAGTCTAGTTCAACTGTGATTAACCGTCACAGCCTGGACTTGTGCTGTGATGGACAACCGAATAGACGGATAATAAAAACCCTTTGACACATAGGTTGAGTTGAGTTGAGTCAAGAATTAACATCACAGCGCTCCGTCCTCATCTTCAGCAGTCAGCACAGAGTTTCAATACTGATGGTACCGGTCACAATCTGGTTAAATGTCCGTCTTGACTCTCCTCTGAGTGTAGTGAGCCTGCCAGACCCTCTGGTTACACCCAGGTGCTTTATTCTCTCCAGGCCATAATAATCTTCTTTATCTACTGTTCCGTTGCTTGTTCCCAAAGGGCCTTGACAACATCTGCCTCTTCATGTATATATTCACCACCTAGTGATGCAGATATATCCCATCCGTCTACCTGTTCATTGACCACCACGCCGGCATAGCCTGGAGAAAAGATCCAAAGTATGCTCACTACTGTGACTTTTACAGTTATGCCTGCCACTCTGCTCGAAGCATCCTGTCTTCACCTTTTCCAGCATACTTTCAGAGTCTGTTACAATTACGACATGTGTATGCATCTTGTTCTCTAGCCACCGGAGAGGTGCAGTTACCGCCTCCACCTCCATTCCCATGCTAGACGTTGTGGTGTCATACGCTAGGCTGTCTTGCACTAAAGATTCATATGTACAGTAACGTCATTTCACTGCGTAATAAAAATGAAATTAATATCCGTTAAGAGTCAATAATACACACACATTGTATTTAATGTTAGAAAACGACCACTACAAACTTTAAAAAAAGAGTAGTAATGTAAATAAATGTATTGTAACACCATAAACCTATTCTTCTGTCTTTGAGTGTTTTGTGCGGTCATGTTTCGTAAGTTACACAGAAGTAGAATCTGCGTTTTATTTGCCTCCTCTTGCGTTACAAACCTGTCGATTTTTTTTTAAATAGAAGACTCACCCTTCAACGTCTCTACTGTCTTTTTCTTCAATTATAGTCACACTATGAACGATTTGACATCGTTCAAAATTTCAAAGCCTCCATCCATTTTGTCATATTCCAACCAGTTGTAAAATGTTTTTTTTTTTTCCTGACGTAATGTTTAACTTCTAATCCTACAGTGTTGTACAACTTCGTCAACACTAACTTCCGTGTTGCACTGATTTTCTTCTTGTTTCTTCAGTTTCGTAAACCTACCCCCTAATGAGGTTCGGTTTGGGTATTTGTATTTATTTAGATGTTCTGTGAAACCAGCAACGACTGCCCTGTTTGCACTAACTTTCTCTCCAATTATGTTTAGTTGTTGAATCCCATGACGACACTTACATTTATCAAGCCATCCCATGTTTGTTTTAAAATGTTGATCTCACTCTAGCTTTTTTTTTTTTTTTTTCGTTTCATCTGCCTTGGTGATTATTATGGGACCTAAAAGCGGAATCCTATGATTGCCAGCTTGTACAAACAATTGATCCATCGCAGTATCCAGCTGGTCTCATGTTGTAGGTTATATGGACAATTCTTTAGCAAGCATCTATCTCTTCAGAGGTCCTGGGTGGTTAGCGTCCCTTGGATATTTTCTTCACGTCATACCCATGGACTTTCTAGACCATTCTCTGATATTTATACAAAGCTGGGTGACATAGAAACTCACAGCGAATGAAAACAATAACAATAACGAATCTTAGTAGGAACAATACAGTCAACCTTAAAAAACACATATATGTAAAAACAATAAATCATATTACTAATAAAAGAGACGATAGTAACAACCGCACAGGACCAACCTTCATTATTATATAACTAATACTGATGTTCTAAGGCAAAACACTAAGCTAGTGTAAACAAATTACTTCCCCGTATAATCAAAGATAGGAAAATACTTGACTAATCTGAACCGGTAGAAAGATGAAGGGATAAAGGGAAGTCTGTAAACTTCCGGCCCGTCATCGTACGACTTGGCCAGACGTTTTGCGTCTTCGTCGTCCAGGTCCTTGATCTGATGCAGTAGGCCTCTCTCTGTTAGGGAACCTGGGACAACGATCACGAAACATACAAGTTTGTTAGCAATCTAAAAAAAGGCATCTGAGTTTAAATATCTTGGAACAACATTTACAGAAGATGGTAAAGTGGACGAAGAAATAGACGTATGATGCAGTAAAGCAGGCCTTGTATTGGGACAGCAAAAACCCCTTTTACAGCATAAGGCAATGCCAATCAGCAAAAAGAAACATCTTATACAAAGCATATCTATTCCCATCCTATGCTACCAGTACCAGACGTGGCCACTGAGAACAGAACATAACATAAAATTAGTAACCATGGAAATAAGGTGACTGAGAAATCCTGTAGGAGTGACCAGAAGAGATATATTTAGGAATGAGTTCATACGAGATAAAGTCGGCACTGAACCATTTCTAAATTACATACAAAGACAACAATTAAAATGGTCTACCTACTTGGAGAGAATGCCTCTAGATGCTACATAATGCATAGCCTATATCAAAAGAGGAGAGGGACGTAGAGCAAGTTGTAGACCGAGAACACGATAGGAAAATAACATCAGAGAAACTCTACAGCCCCACGATGTGTCTATGGTCGAAGTAGCCCCAGAAGAACACGAAGCAGAACCGCAAATCCACCCCTCCACCCCCTCCCCCTCGGCAGTATACTATTTCAATTAAACTTTATCGGAAAGATTCTGCGCAAGCCTTTTGATGCTGATTCGAGCCATTCACACTGATGAATAGAAAAATATAGACTCTCTTCCACATACGTATACTTAATTTTTTTTTTCAAAGTGTATGAAACAGAAAGCCACATAAACCACCTGTTCTGTTGAAGCAAGCAATAGTCACCCTGCAGCTTAGAGATTGTGAACACTAGACTGATTAATTTCTGCATGCAGCATCCGACTCATAGCTGGCAAGTGATGTTAATTTTGATAGTAGCATAAACTATTAAGCAAAATGTTGCATAGTAAAACCTATATTTAGTCAATAAAAATATGTATTGGACAGCGAAGCCCTAGAATGGATATACGCCCGTGTGCGAGCGCACAAACGCATGCACACACACGTACGTACACACCTATAGGCACACTCACACAACAGTGTCATGACTCGGAAAGTTCCCTATTAAAAGTTACATCCGATTTCTAGAACATACAACTCTGGAAAACTTGCTCACAAAGGCCAACCAGCACAAAATCGGACGTGAACATTAGAGAAATCCTGGACACAAACAGGTATGAAGAAGCGAACACGTACATTACTGACTGGGTATGTGACAGGTAGTATTGTGACTACTGCGATGACTTCGTGTTTGACATTTCACAGACAATCACTTACGGCTGAATATAATTACAACAAACTGGTTTAATTTCTAGGCTTTAGTTAACCAGAGAACACCAATATATGTCAGAGATAGGTCAGTAAGTGAGTGACGTTCTACACCATCAGGATCGCACAACAAACGATTAACACTCTTAACAACAGCACCATCCCTCACTACTTGCGATTAAGACTCAGTGGCACTAAGTGGCTCAATTCTGTTGAGAATCTCCCAGGCACAAGTCACAGAAGCCCCGTTCAACCGTTAGGTTATAGTAGGGATCCCAAAGACAGCTGTGGGTGCTGCTTCAAAATAACACAGACTTGCATCCATTATAGGGAGTGAGATAATGGTTCACTGAGTGAGTGACGTCCAACCCCACCAGATGTCTAAACGAGCGATAAACACCCAGTGACACAAAGTGCCACCATTCGGATGAGAATCTCTCATGCTCAGGTCCCTGAAAACCCGTTCAACCGTGAAGTTATTTTAGGGCCCCCGACCACAGCCGGGGTGGGAATTTTAAAATAACCAAAAAAAAAAAAAAAAAAATTGCGTCCCACTTTGAGACGAGGAATAATATAATGTTGGGCCAGTTTATTCTGTCCGAAGAAATCTTCTATACTATAAAGCACAATGCTTGTATAGGTGTTTGAGTAGAGTTTAGGTCAACTGTTAACTCCTCCCAATAAGTGAAGACTAGACGGGTTAGATTTTTATTTACCAATATGGCTAAATGTGTTTAGTTGAACAGTCATATTGGCGGCCAGAATAATATGGATCTGTTTATTTTTTACAAAAATCAGAAAAAGTGAACCTTTGCTGCAGTTATAATTCTCGAAAATGTCGTTTCCCTTTTGTTCCTTATATCAAAAATTGAAAATTATATTTTGCTGTTATCTCCCTTGAAACTTAGTCTGTAAGATAGGGACGGTATAAGAGGTGGTTGCTGAAAGTCCGAGTGACAACCCTAGTCATTCCTCTAAGTTCGGCGGTACCTCTAACTATAGGAGGAATTGGTCTAGGAGGCTCCTACTACACTACCTCAGGCTGTGACTCAGGGAGCCACCTCCCAAACTCTGTAAAAGTAGAAATATTTGCTGAAGAAGTAGCAACTGCAGCATTTTAAACAATACGTGCAAGCGGATACAGTTTAAAATGACAAAACAGGGAAAATAACCTAAGCATCAGACGAAGAGGAAAATGACAATGGAGAACTAGAGGACAACAGAGAACTAGAGGACAACAGAGAACTAAGGGCCAACAAAGAACTAGAAGATGATAATGTGAAAGAACATGTAGAAACTCACCCGGAATGACATTATCCATGACACAAGCATAAACCCCTCCAACAACAGCTGGGTTTGTTACAACAGCCAAGAGGAAACTGTTGAGTTCTGGGATACCTGGAACAGTATAGAACAATTTTCCTTTTGAATAGATTTCCACAATACTTTGTTTACAACAGCTAACCCCCTACCCCATGTTTTTTTTTTCCCCAAGGTGGTTCGCACAGGCACAGGACATGCGGCACGCACTAGAATGACATTTGCAGATTGACACAGTGACCTCATTATTTTGCTACAAGTTATGTAGGGGTACATTACTAAGCATTCTAGTTTTAGTGGTACAGATTTCATTTTTCAAAGACCAAGTAAATTCTCCGCTTCAAGAAAACAACCGCATCTGTGCAATTGTTTTATTATACAATCATACCGACATAGGTATACCAAGGCCATATGGACAAATTGTTGATCCGTTCAAGAGTATATTTATATATATATATATATATATATATATATATATATATATATATATATATATATATATATATATATATATATATATATATATATATATTTATATATATATATATATATTTACCTCACTACAGCAAAATGTATATCCAAAATTATGTAGGTAAGGAATCGATACAACCCCCTCCCCCTCCCCCACTCCGCCAGTCTTTTACTTTTGCACTATAATATCTGCATAAGCTTTCTCTCTCTAGCTTAGTTCCCTGTTACCAGGAGACATATAATGCCCTCGCATATCTGAATTATTGTTAGAAATCTCCTCACAACTCCTCTGTGTAAGGGCTTCAGACAACCCTCGCCACCTCAGATTGCACAGAGGTATTTATACATGCTTTAGACCACTCAACGATTCAAAAGATTGCACAGAAGTATTTATACTGATGCTCCAGACCACTCGGAGATTGCACAGAAGTATTTATACTGACGCTCCAGACCACTCAAATATTGCCCAGAAGTATTTATACTGACGCTCCAGACCACTCAAATATTGCCCAGAAGTATTTATACTGACGCTCCAGACCACTCAAATATTGCCCAGAAGTACACAGCACTGACGCTCCAGACCACTCAAATATTGCCCAGAAGTTTTTTTACTGACGCTCCAGACCACTCAAATATTGCCCAGAAGTATTTATACTGTGCTCCAGACCACTCAAATATTGCCCAGAAGTATTTATACTGACGCTCCAGACCACTCAAATATTGCCCAGAAGTATTTATACTGACGCTCCAGACCACTCAAATATTGCCCAGAAGTATTTATACTGACGCTCCAGACCACTCAAATATTGCCCAGAAGTATTTATACTGAAGCTCCAGACCACTCAAAGATTGCACAGAAGTATTTATACTGAAGCTCCAGACCACTCAAAGATTGCACAGAAGTATTTATACTGAAGCTCCAGACCACTCAAAGATTGCCCAGAAGTATTTATACTGAAGCTCCAGACCACTCAAAGATTGCACAGAAGTATTTATACTGAAGCTCCAGACCACTCAAAGATTGCACAGAAGTATTTATACTGAAGCTCCAGACCACTCAAAGATTGCACAGAAGTATTTATACTGATGCTCCAGACCGCTCAAAGATTGCACAGAAGTATTTATACTGATGTTCCAGACCACTCAAAGATTGCACAGAAGTATTTATACTGATGTTCCAGACCACTCAAAGATTGCACAGAAGTATTTATAATGATGCTCCAGACCACTCAAAGATTGCACAGAAGTATTTATACTGAAGCTCCAGACCACTCAAAGATTGCACAGAAGTATTTATACTGATGCTCCAGATTGACTCAAAGATTGCCCAGAAGTATTTATACTGATGCTCCAGACCACTCAAAGATTGCACAGAAGTATTTATACTGATGCTCCAGACCACTCAAAGATTACACAGAAGTATTTATACTGATGCTCCAGACCACTCAAAGATTGCCTAGAAGTATTTATACTAGTGGTCCAGACTACTCAAAGATTCAAAGATTACACTGCAATATCTCAATGAGTTCTTTAGAATATCTTTATTGCTGTTCCAAACTCAAAATCTGCACACAAATATTTACACTAGATCTGTAGACTGAAGCAGTGCACACAAATATTTACACTGGTGCTCTAGACTGAAGCAGTGCACACACATATTTACACTGGTGCTCTAGACTGAAGCAGTGCACACAAATATTTACACTGGTGCTCTAGACTGAAGCAGTGCACACAAATATTTACACTGGATCTCTAGACTAATGCAGTGCACACAAATATTTACACTGGTGCTCTAGATTGAAGCAGTGCACACACATATTTACACTGGTGATCTAGATTGAAACAGTGCACACATATATTTACACTAGTGCTCTAGACTGAAGCAGTGCACACAAATATTTACACTGGTGCTCTAGATTGAAACAGTGCACACATATATTTACACTGGTTCTCTAGACTCAAGCAGTGCACACACATATTTACAATGGTGCTCTAGACTCAAGCAGTGCACACAAATATTTACACTGGTGCTCTAGACTCAAGGAGTGTACACAAATATATACACTAGTGCTCTAGAATGAAGCTGTGCGCAGAAGTATTTACACTAGATCTGTAGATTGAAGCAGTGCACAAAAATATTTACACTAGTGCTCTAGACTGAAGCAGTGCACACAAATATTTACACTGGTGCTCTAATCTCAAGCAGTGCATACACAAATTTCCCCTACACCATCTTCGCATACATAAACTAAACGAAGTTTTTTTCCCCCACACGGCTGGCTACAAAAAACTTCCACATGTAGCATTTATTCCTATTTAAGAGATCGGTTTATATTCGTATTTATTTTATTTCACTTGGCTAAACTGAGCAGAATCTGGTGCCTTGCATTCAGCGTGGCTTGCGGTGCTCGATAAAATGAACAAGAAATATATCGTGAATTTTGCGTCTAGGGTATTCTAGTGTACGTCGCAATAAGCACGCGTTGGAAGACAGCTGCTGCCATCCCTCTAGAGAAGAGCTACTTTACTGTAGCAAGAGATCAACAGCTGTTGATTTTAGTTTGATAGCACATGCAAAGAAACGTGGCCAGCCATAAAGTAATAAAAGATAAAGGTACCCGAGAGATGCCCACATTTTTGTTCTACGGGTCGGCTCGCTATGATTAAACACCCTGGTTGACATTGCTTGACTGCACGCGGTCTCAATGCAGTGCAGGTGTTTGAAATCGAGGTGACAGGGAGATGACTCAACAGCGATAGTATGGTTTCATAAGTAAATCTGAATTTGTATATAGCAGTTAAACTGGGTAGAGATATATCAGTGTGTATGATCGCTCAGAGATATTTCATTTTTTTTTTTTTTTAGTGAAGCGCTTGGCATATTGATGGTTGATAATGTTTTGTTATTTGTGAACAGCTCTTAGTTTTCTATTCAGTGAAATAAACAGATGTTTAGTGTGATGCTTATATTCATTTAGAATTTGGTGGTTTGTTAGCCACGTAGTATGTCTAGGTGTTGCTTAGTCATTTAGTTAGGTTGTTGTTGTGTAACACAGCTATTTCCCAAACCATTTGTTTTATTTTGGCGACAAATTTCCAGGGCCTCTGCAAAAACGAACCCCTCGTCCGTTTTTGTTTTTTTAATTTTTCTGTTTTGTTCTAATCATAATTTTCTCTTTCCTCTCTTCTTTCTTTTAGTTTTTCCTTTTCTTTTTTCCAGCTAGCAGATTACAATAACGCGGAGTTTGTCAAGTCTCTCTGGAATCTAGTAAACGTTGTAGCGGAACAGAGCATAAATATGTGGAGACAATGGTGTGAGCAGAAGGTCTAGAACACCTGTAATCATGTTGCAGCGGCCAAACTCAGTATGCGAAGTCTGCCTTATTTACACAGAGAGGGGGGAAAAGACGTATGTCAATGTCCCGTGTGTAAAGATGCACACTGACCTACATACAGACAGTTTACTGCCAACGGGCACCTGGTCGCCGGTGTAGAAGGAGTTTAAGGTGCCCACCTTGCAAAACAAAGGGAAAAAGGGTGGGGGTATGATGAAAATATCATAAATGACCAAGATTTGACCCAGAAAAGTAAATGGAATCGAGTCTACAATGGTGAGAAGTGGATCGGTGCGTTGAAACCAGGTTTCGTCGCCTCCGTGGTATGTGGTATTTAGTTCATATTCAAAGAGTCATATATGGATATTGTTACTTGAGAGAAGCTATTGTTTGTTTCTTGTTTGTATCGGCATCCTAGCAGATCGGTCCAACCCATTCATGCGCCGACCCCCGATGCAGCAGCCACCTCACGAGTTGACTGGCATATCTTCTTCCTGGGCCACACAACCGGTGTCCGTTTGCTTGTTTACGTTTATTACGCATTTCCAACAGGCGGCTCATCGTCTCTATTTCTTTTATCCCAAAGTCTCTAGAACGCATCGCAATCAGTTTACAACCTTGTCCATACTTCTTCCGCCACCAGCCACTGCAGGCACGGCCAGTCTGTCAGCTCATTCATTTCCTCTTACCCAGGCAGATACCCGTGTATATAGTCAAGATACTTTCTTGGGGCTGGACTTGTGGATGCTTTCAACCCAATCCAGTCGAAGTTTGCCAGTTTTGATCTTTTGGAGTCTGCCATTAGGGATGCGTGATCTGCTTTCTGCTCCGCTAACCAATTAAATCCCACTGTTAAGCTTTCATCTCCAATGATATGCTAGAACTAGTTGAACTGAATGCCTATCATTTAACCTTTACTGTCTTCCCATTTATCTGTGCTATGTAGGACCAGCCAAACCCGACCCCACAAATCACTGAACCCCTGTACTGATGATGACCTGTACTGCTGTCACATGCTCAACGTAATTATTATCTCAGTGTAATTGTTGTGGAGTTTATATCCATCCAGCACTAAGGCTCACATGCGTCTTCCAATAGTCAACTTTGGCCAGTGGAATCCTTTTCTCCCGCTGTCCTGAACAGCCCGCTATTTAGGCGCTTACCTTGTTCACAAGGAGGCAGTTGTGCAGAGGGTATGTCAGCAACAGAACAAAGGTAATGCCTTAGTCTAAGCCATATTGTGTCTAGTGGTCATGTCTGGCAGGTCGAGGGTATGTTCCACTGCCTGACTTGTGGTGGCTCTTGGGCAACAGAGGATCAATCTCATGGCTTTATCTTGCACTGTCTCTAGTACTTACGACAACAACTGAAGACACGTCGAGTTTAACTATTTGGACATAAGTTGTTTCTTACAACGTCATTGAAATGTCAATGTAAAAATGTTTTTCTGAAGGCATACTTCTGCATGGAGACAATTCATATTCGTTTGTTGATCTGTTTATTCTTCTTCAGCATATCTTTTCTTTCTTTTTGTTTCTCGTCTCACTGTCACCAGGTTGTAATCCACTGTCGTTGTTTTCTGCACGTGTGTTGCGATTCTCGGGTGGTTTGGGTGATGGATTTGTTTATCTTTTTGCAGCGGCACCATGTAGCCATCTCTTTATTGGCCTTCCCCTCACCTTCCAATCAGATTTTTGCTATTAAAATGGCTCACATATATATTTTAATTTTGCTGTATTCTAGCTAAATGCCAAACCCTTTCATTCTTTGTCTGTTTCTGTAATCCAGAAATGTTAACTTCCTCTCTAATGCCAGTATTCGTAACCCTGTCCCTTCTTGTGGTATTAGTGACGGAGACAGTGCATCTCTCAGGTATTTCTGATCTCTTCTAGCGCCGTATATCATGTCCATGTTTGGCACTGATAGCATAATGTGGAGATATATGCTATTGTACATTTGCTACTTTGCTGGAATGGAAAAATTTTGGTGTCCAAACAGTAGAAGTGGCAAGTAGAAATGGCTAGTAAAATTGGCCAGTAGAGCTAGCGATCAGAAATGGCCAGTAGAGCTAGCCATTAGAAGTGAATAGTAGAAGTAGCCAGTAGGGGTGGCCAGTCGAGTTGGTCAGTGAAAATAACCAGTAGAGGTGGCCAGTGGTGGCGGCCAATAGAAGTTGCCAGTATGATTTTGACTGGTACCGATAGAGTAATGCTTCGTAATTGAAAACAAGAAAAATCACTGGAAGAAGGCGCTACACTGGACACGTCCTGAAAAGAAACCAGCAGAAAACACCAAACAAGCATTACAATGGGGGGTGGGGGGAGGGGGGGGGATTAAGGAGGCGAGGATGTCCAAATGAAGATAAACTTTGATGAGAAAAGCCAAAGCTTCTGGACCCGACTCCATCTATTTTAGTTAACATTTGCACAGGAAAGAACGGTAAGGAGGAATACAATATTATACATAATGGCACAACAGGGTCATGAAATAATGAATGAACTGTTGGCCAATAAGTCTGCGCGATAGTATCAACGCTTATGTTAAATTAATGTGGAATTTATGGAGGAGTGTTGCTTTTTTTTCTTTTTTTAGAATAAACCAGCGAAGTATGGTTGATTGTTGTGCTATCTTCTGTGTTTTTGTTTCTGTTTTTACTTGGGGTAAGTATTTACCGACAAATGCATTTGTATTTTCTACTACCTGTATCTAGAACTCCAGGTCTGGTATTAGCCCAATGTGGCAACATCAGTCCCAGCATGATGGATGTGCCAATGATGGCCAGATTGCGGGTAGAGTTCAAGTCAATCATCTGTAATAAAATGAAGCCGAATGTAGTTTCTCTTGTAAATAAAAGGCGAAGAAGTCTTTCATTAATCGAGCACAAATTAGCCAAACGGATTTGTGCCCTCATCAAGCAAGAGGTAGCTACTGTCACACACTATTATGCATGACTTCATTGTCAACTGGGTGTGTCTGTGAAGTAGCGATTACACGCTCTCTTAAATTAAACAAGAAGCCAGTAGGATTTATTGTTCAAAGATTACATCGTCTCCCAAATGGGTACCAGGTAAAACCGTGGGAGATGAAAGCGGCAAGTGTAAGTCTGACCACAGTATCCAACGCGTGTCAGTTAGTCAATAAAATATGTGTCTAGCACTGTATCTCCAATACGCTGATGCAACTACCATAGCTTCAAGCTTGCCGTGACAGATGTCATTCTTAGACTACTGATGACTTTATGTCAGATTCTAGCAAAGCACAATTCATATTTGTGTGTGTGTGTGTGTGCGTGTGTGTTTTTTAGAACTAATCACCGAGCATTAAAACAGGCAACTTGTAAACTTGTTATTCTTACCTGGAGTAAGGACATCACAAAACCCACAAACAGTCCACTGACAAGGAAGGTAATCCCGGCAAGAACTGGGTTCGGCAAAGTGATGAATACAGCTGCAGCTTTCCCAAAGAAAGCCAACAGGATGTAGATAATGCCACAACACTGCAGAACCCTCCGGCTTGCAACCTGACATTAATATACAACACTGTGTCAGCAAAAATCGTTTATCAATTTTTTTATTCTTTTTTTTTCTGTTCTTTCTTTCAGAGCTAAGGCTGTGTATTATACATGTCTTTTCCTAATATATTGTTAGTTCTCTTGTAGTTTGCGATGTCAAGATTAACTGGAAATTGCGTGATAGTGCCTGTGTTTAGCGTCGTGTGCAGGCTTATATATGTGTGTGGATATATATATATATATATATATATATATATATATATATATATAATCGTCTTCAAATTCACAGGATATAAACATATGCAGAAAGATCGGGCTGTTTATCCACCTCTGGACTAGTCTCTTTCCAGAACATAAGTGTTGCGTCCACATCCGTTTTACAGATCTGAGTTTTGTGAATGCAGATTGTTGGTTCCTTGCCTTTCATGCAGATGCACTGCGATTTCGAAAAAAAAAGTTTCCAGTTAGTTTACTTTTACGACATACTTGTTGGGGAGGCAGTGAATTTATTCTTGCTGTCTCCACAATAGGGCCCCCTAACCCACACAGGGAGCTTATATATATATATATGAATAACTCATAATCAAGAAATGTCACAAATGGCCAGATTTGTGACAATTATGACCCCCTTATATTTGGATGCAACCTTATTGCTGAACTTTCTCATGCAGAGGATACAGTTCTTTCCTCAAACAGTGTAAAGAGAATAGAACATTGTATCGCTTCTGTCCAAAAACATAGAGAAGATTTAAAAAAAAAAAAATTGTTCCTGAATTTGAAGTTAAAAAAAAAAAAACTGCGTGTCACACCGAGTAACATAAATGATGAAGACAATGAAAATGTCACAAATTTTGCATATCTAGGCTTCATGCTTGTTTGTTTGTTTTAGTATCCAGAAGCCATGAGTTGTTAACCCTTAGGCTCAGTATTATGGATATCGCGACACTTCGGCCTTGATTCCATTGTAAATACCATAAATCTGGCAGAAAATGTGGCTTTCCTGTCTACCGACGGGATTAAACCCGGACCCAAAGGAGTTCGTCACCCGGTCTCCGCGCAATCCGGTTTAGCCAACTACGCTAGAGAGCCGGGCACATCTAGGCTTCATAAAAGCAACAATGAAGAATATCGGATAGAAAGTTAAAAGGAGGATGGCAATGCCAATGCACAGATGTACACAGCATTAATAGTCTATGGTTGAGCACCAGCAAAGAAATCAGTCAACATTTTGCGGACATGTATCTTCTTTGTAGCAACACACTGACTGGCTTACAGTCATTCAACAAGAATTAACATTATATACAAAGAATATCAGAATACCTTACACACACAAGAAAGAAACAGAAAAGAAATGCTGAAACCCTAATGAAAATCTGAAAAATCAAGGAAAATTGACTAGTAAACAGCATCCTGTCTGGAAAAGTGAAAAGTCTGGACATAACAAGAAGTCCGGCGAATTGGAAAGTTACCTGAAAGAGGAGCATGTGCAGATGAGAACAAACATGGTCAGAGGATAAGCGTGACACCTTCACTAAGGAAATGAACATATGCAACGTGGTCGCCCACTGACTCGCCAGAAGACGACTTCGTCGCTAACTGGGACGGTATTTGAATCTGTCTCTTTTGATCGCATCAAAACTGCAGGAGTCTTTTTCAGGGCTGTTGGTGGCGTGCAATCTAAAGCTATTTTATTAGGCGCACATAACCTAGTCACAATTATAACCCAAAGCTCTGTTTTCGAGGATGTTGGTTGAACTTGACAATTATGTTTTTTTTCCAGCTAAACACCAACCCTGTGAGGTACACGAGTTGGGAGATCTGGCAAGAGACCTAGTTTTTTTTTCTCTCTATCAGACTGGAGTTATGCGAACTACCTCTCCATGAGGACATCATATTAATGGCATCTGTCAGTCCCTGGGAACTGAGTCCCTAGGGACTATGGAGATGTCGCAATGGAAACAGCACCTGGTGTGATTGTGAAGTTCGATTTAGGAGTGGCAGCCAATGTCACACAGAACACACACACACACACACACACACACACACACAAAGCAGATGCTTCCTAGCTCTGAAGCTAATTTACTTCCTGTAGACTTTCCTGTAGGCCTTCCTGTAGGCCTTCCTGTAGGCCTTCCTGTAGGCCTTCATGCAGGCATTCCTCTAGTCCTTCCTGAAAGCCTTCCTGTAGTACTTCCTGTAGGTCTTCATGTAGGCCTTCCTGTAGGTCTTGCTGTAGTACTTCCTGTAGGTCATCATGTAGGTCTTCCTGTAGGTCTTCCTGTAGGTCTTCCTGTAGTACTTCCTGTAGGTATTCCTGTAGTACTTCCTGTAGGTCTTCCTGTAGGTCTTCCTGTAGTACTTCCTGTAGGTCTTCATGTAGGCCTTCCCGTAGGTCTTCCTGTAGGTCTTCATGTAGGTCTTCCTGTAGGTCTTCCTGTAGGTCTTCATGTAGGTCTTCCTGTAGGTCTTCCTGTAGGTCTTCCTGTAGGTCTTCCTGAAGGCCTTCCTGTAGGTCTTCCTGTAGGTCTTCCTGTAGGTCTTCCTGTAGGTCTTCCTGAAGGCCTTCCTGTAGGTCTTCCTGTAGGTCTTCCTGTAGGCCTTCCTGTAGGTCTTCATGTAGGTCTTCCTGTAGGTCTTCCTGTAGGTCTTCCTGTAAGTCTTCCTGTAGGTCTTCCTGTAGGTCTTCCTGTAGGCCTTTCTGTAGGTCTTCCAATAGGCCTTCCTGTAGGCCTTCCTGTAATTCTTCATGTAGGCTTCCTGTAGGTCTTTCTGTAGGCCTTCCAGTAGTCCTTTCTGTAGTCCTTTCTGTAGTCCTTCGTTTTAAGGCTTCCTGTAGGTCTTCCTGTAGGCCTTCCTGTAGGCTTTCCTGTAGTCCTTCATGTAGGCTTTCCTGTAGGCATTGCTATCGGTTTTCCTGTAGGCCTTCTTATAGGTTTTTCTGTAGGCCTTCCTGTAGTCCTTTCTGTTGTCCTTCCCGTTGTCTTTCCTGTAAATCTTCCTGTAGGCTTTCCTGTAGTCCTTTTGTAGGCCTTCCCGTAGGCCTTCCTATAGGCCTTTCTGTAGGCCTTCCTGTAGGCCTTACTTTAGGTCTTCCTGTAGGTCTTCTTGAAGGCCTTCCTGTAGGTCTTCCTGTAGGCCTTCCTGTAGGTCTTCCTGTAGGTCTTCCTGTAGGTCTTCCTGGAGGTCTTCCTGTAGGTCTTCCTGTAGGTCTTCGTGTAAGTCTTCCTGTAAGTCTTCCTGTAGGTCTTCCTCTAGGTCTTCCTGTAGGTCTTCCTGTAGGTCTTCCAATAGGCCTTCCTGTAGGCCTTCCTGTAATTCTTCCTGTAGTCTTTCTGTAGGTCTTTCTGTAGTCCTTCCAGTAGTCCTTCCTATAGTCCTTCCTGTAGTCCTTCCTTTTAAGGCTTCCTGTAGGTCTTCCTGTAGGCCTTCCTGTAGGCTTTCCTGTAGTCCTTCCTGTAGGCTTTCCTGTAGGCCTTCTTATAGGTTTTTCTGTAGGCCTTCCCGTAGTCCTTCCTGTTGTCCTTCCCGTTGTCCTTCCTGTAAATCTTCCTGTAGGCTTTCCTGTAGGCCTTCTTGTAGGCCTTCCCGAAGGCCTTCCTGTAGGCCTTCCTGTAGGCCTTCCTGTAGGCCTTACTTTAGGTCTTCCTTTAGGCCTTTCTGTAGGCCTTCCTGTATTCCTTCCCGTAGGCCTTCCTGTATGCCTTCCTGTAGGCCTTACTTTAGGTCTTCCTGTAGGTCTTCCTAAAGGCCTTCCTGTAGGTCTTCCTGTAGGCCTTCCTGTAGGTCTTCATGTAGGTCTTCCTGTAGGTCTTCCTGTAGGTCTTCCTGTAGGTCTTCCTGTTGGCCTTCCTGTAGGTCTTCCTGTAGGCCTTCCTGTAGGTCTTCCTGTAGGCCTTCCTGTAGGTCTTCATGTAGGTCTTCCTGTAGGTCTTCCTGTAGGTCTTCCTGTAGGTCTTCCTGTAGGTCTTCCTGTAAGTCTTCCTGTAGGTCTTCCTCTAGGTCTTCCTGTAGGTCTTCCTGTAGGTCTTCCTGTAGGCCTTCCTGTAGGTCTTCCTGTAGGCCTTCCTGTAGGTCTTCCTGTAGGCCTTCCTGTAGGTCTTCCAATAGGCCTTCCTGTAGGCCTTCCTGTAATTCTTCCTGTAGGCTTCCTGTAGGTCTTTCTGTAGTCATTCCAGTAGTCCTTCCTATAGTCCTTCCTGTAGTCCTTCCTTTTAAGGCTTCCTGTAGGTCTTTCTGTAGGCCTTCCTGTAGGCTTACCTGTAGTCCTTCCTGTAGGCTTTCCTGTAGGCCTTCTTATAGGTTTTTCTGTAGGCCTTCCTGTAGTCCTTCCTGTTGTCCTTTCCGTTGTCCTTCCTGTAAATCTTCCTGTAGGCTTTCCTGTAGGCCTTCTTGTAGGCCTTCCCGTAGGCCTTCCTGTAGGCCTTCCTGTAGGCCTTCCTGTAGGCCTTACTTTAGGTCTTCCTTTAGGCCTTTCTGTAGGCCTTCCTGTATTCCTTCCTGTAGGCTTTCCTGTAGGCCTTCCAGTAGGTATTCCTGTAGGTCTTCCTGTAGGTCTTCATGTAGGTCTTCCTGTAGACCTTCCTGTAGGTCTTCCTGTAGGCCTTCCTGTAGGGCTTTCTGTAGGCCTTTCTGTAGGTCTTCCCTTAGGTCTTCTGGTAGGCCTTCCTGTAGGCCTTCCTGTAGGTCTTCCTGTAGGTCTTCCTGTAGGTCTTCATGTAGGCCTGCCTGTAGGCCTTTGTGTAGGCATTCTTGTAGGCCTTCATGTAGGCCTTCCTATAGGTCTTCCTGTAGGCCTTCCTGTAGACCTTCCTGTAGGTCTTCCTGTAGGCCTTTCTGTAGGGCTTCCCGTAGGCCTTTCTGTTGGTCTTCCTGTAGGCCTTCCTGTAGGCCTTCCTGTAGGTCTTCCTGTAGGCCTTCCTGTAGGTCTTTCTTAGGCCTTCCTGTAGGTTTTCCTGTAGGCCTTCCTGTAGGCTTTCCAGTAGGTCTTCCTGTAGACCTTCCTGTAGGTCTTCCTGTAGGCCTTCCTGTAGGTCTTCCTGTAGGTCCTCCTGTAGGTCTTCCTGTAGGCCTTCCTGTAGGTCTTCCTGTAGGCCTTCCTGTAGGTCTTCCTGTAGGTCTTCCTGTAGGTCTTCCTGTAGTTCTTCCTGTAGGTCTTCCTGTAGGTCTTCCTGTAGGTCTTCCTGTAGACCTTCCTGTAGGTCTTCCTGTAGGCCTTCCTGTAGGTCTTCATGTAGGTCTTCCTGTAGGTCTATTCCCTTTTTCCAGTTCACCATAAAGGAGATCCTTTGGAATACGTCCATCCTCTATGAGGCAGAACTGATCCATCCTACGCGTAAACAGGACATTTCTGGTATTTTTGTTTTTTGATAGTACACATCCGTTAGAGACAAGGTCTCGCCATGACATACCATGTCATGGATCTTCACAGAATCTCTGCTACTCCCTATGGCCTACGTCCGCATGGTGGGCATTGTTTCGATTCCATCTCTTGTTGTATACTGCCGGCTGGCAACCGAGTTTAATTACTAAACCACTATTACTGAACCACTATTTGAGTTTACATGTGTGTAAATTGATTGCAGCTCTGATACTGCCCCCCACCCCCCCCCCCCATCCCCCTGGGCCATTTATCATATTTCTTGTACTACATCACGTAAGTAATGAACATGATGAGAATAATGATGATGATGACAGCTACTAACCCTAGTAATTCTGAGAATGCCTATGCTGCTGCCAGAGGACACTGTGTGGTGGCAACTCCCGATGAGTCCACTAAGGATGTTCATCAGACCTTCTACAGCAATACCTCTGTTGTAGGCAGACATTGGAGGAGGTGGAACACGACACGCCTTAGCGCAAGTGCTGTAGTCTCCGATTGAGTCCAGGACTGATACAAACGTTTGACCCAGGCAGCTAATAACAACGGCGGTACTGATGGAGAAGGTTCCAAACTTTCCTTGGGGAGATGATATGGTTGTGAAATGAAAACTTAGAATGTAAATATACATCAAACATAAGAAGTAATAGGACTGATTTTCGTAACAAAGTGAAGGGCATGGAAGAAATAGTTAGCATGAGCTTAGTTTGACATTGTGCATGAAGACACAAGTAGACATGTGTGCATGAAGACACAAGTAGACATGTGTGCATGAAGACACAAGTAGACATGTGTGCATGAAGACACAAGTAGACATGTGTGCATGAAGACACAAGTAGACTGAAACAACTGGACGAAGAGATAAGTGGATCAAAGTATCAAGAGCAGCGAAATTATACAGGGTTGTATTCACGCTTAGCTGTGAGTCTAGGGACTCGCCAGCGAGCACTGCAGAAAAAAAAGTCTAACGTTGGATCCGTAAACATTCAGCGACAATTATTTGATTATCTTTATTGATGGCTATGTGTTAAGAGATAGAAGACGTCCATGCGGCATCGTGGCTAACGTGATTTGACGACCTAAGAGCAGTAAAAACTGGAATATATAACCACAACATTTATTTTTAGAACGGAGGTGCAGAATTTCACTGTAACCTTCAAGTCACTTAATAACCAATTGCAAACACCTGGACTGATTTGTATAGACTTACAGTACACGTTGAGAACGGTGGTAATATATATATGCCTGAAGCAGAGTGGCAAAATCGGGTAACAGACATGTTTGTTAGCGTTCTACAGATATATTTCCCAGTGAATTGAGGTGTTTTAAGACAAGAATACGCTGAAGGAATAGCTGGTTTTGCACTACTAACTAGTAAATTCGGACACGTAGTAGCGGGGATTGAGCAGGTATGCAGCCGACAGTTGTCACTCAGAGGAAAGGTAAGACGGACATAACCAATGGAAACACTGCTACCAGGGTGTCCTGATTCTTTTAGCCATGAAGCCAATATTACCTGGGTACGGTACAGTGAACCAGTCTGTCTGTTCAATGATGTTTGACCTGGCGTCAGTTCTGGCCATGTATTTGGGATCTGTTGGGTCATCAGTGATAGCTCCAGTGGCTGTCAAAATGGCGCTCAGGGTCCAGCCGAAGATAATACTCAGAAGCACCTGCTCAATGAAAGGTGATACATTGGTTATCTGTTGTGATACATGTCTGGTTATCTGTTGTGATACATGTTTGGTTATCTGTTGCGATACATGTCTGGTTATCTGTTGTGATACATGTCTGGTTATCTGTTGTGATACATGTCTGGTTATCTGTTGTGATACATGTTTGGTTATCTGTTGTGATACATGTTTGGTTATCTGTTGTGATACATGTCTGGTTATCTGTTGCGATACATGTTTGGTTATCTGTTGTGATACATGTTTGGTTATCTGTTGTGATACATGTTTGGTTATCTGTTGTGATACATGTTTGGTTATCTGTTGTGATACATGTTTGGTTATCTGTTGTGATACATGTTTGGTTATCTGTTGTGATACATGTTTGGTTATCTGTTGTGATACATGTTTGGTTATCTGTTGTGATACATGTTTGGTTATCTGTTGCGATGTGCTCATGATTTTACACAACATATAAAACAATAACATAAATGTAATATATAATATAATTACTTATGCATGATTTGTGTATAATATATCGCCTGTTTTAGTAAGGAGCATATTACATATCCTCTACAATCGAAGATAAGTCTTTCGAATTATTTTTGCTTATACAAACCGAAATATGATCTGTGTGTGTATATGAATACATGATCGTCGCGAGGGGCACACTCATGGATGGATAATGACTACACCAATCAAATCAAGCCTTAAGGGGGCTAACAGTTTCCGTTTCTTCACAGACACATTGTTAAAATATAACCCATGTGGGTTAAAGGACTCCACATCAACGCGTGACCCCTGTGGGTTCAAGGACTCCATGTCAACACGTAACCCCTGTGGGTTCAAGGACGCCATGTCAACACGTAACCCATGTGGGTTCAAGGACTCCATGACAACACGTAACCCCTGTGGGTTCAAGGACTCCATGTCAACACGTAACCCATGTGGGTTCAAGGACGCCATGTCAACACGTAACCCCTGTGGGTTCAAGGACTCCATGTCAACACGTTATCCCTGTGGGTTCAAGGACGCCATGTCAACACGTAACCCCTGTGGATTGATGGGAAAACTAAACAAACTTACAGAGAACGATTGGTGGAGCGGGTACCAGAGAATGTAGAAACCTCGACCTCTGCTCCACTGGGGCACTGGGGTTTTCCTGCTGGCCAGACACAGGGACAAGGTCATGTTGACCGCGCATGTTCTGAAATGTACGTACATTATTAACAACTTTACTTTCACATCATTGCTTCATCAAAGTAATGCATTACCTAACTGTATATAGACATATGTGTGTACACGCTATACAAGAAAGTAAACACCTGTGAAAAGCGAATATGTCAAAGAAAGGAGACATGGTTACAAAAAACAACATCAGACATAAAGCTGGAACAAGACCATGTCGGGATGAAACTGATAGACACAGAATGAACTGGTTTGGCTATCTAGGGAGGGTGAAACATCTAGAAGGAAGGCGAGAGGAAGACCAAGAAAGATACAGATATATGTTGTAAATAAAACATGCAAACAAAAAAAGATAAACGCATCCATCACTAAAGCTACCAGAGAAGCTCAAAAAAAAAAAAAAAAAAAAAATACAAAAACCAACATAACAGGCGACAGTCTGGAATTAAGGAGACGACAACAGAAGAAAACGATACCCATACATATATTCTCATAACGCTCATGCATACCAACACGTATATTCTCATAACACTCGTGCATACCCACACGTATATCTCATCCTCATGCATACACACACACCAGCATATGTACACAAACACACACACGTAACATAAACACATACTCTTACAGACCCATACATACACAGACACACACATACATACACATATTGAGGAACACCTATACACACATGGTCATACATAAGCACACATTCACACATATACATACATTCATGTTCATCCAGATACACATATGCACAGCCGCCATATGTACATACATGATCATACTACGCTAGCACACATAATTAAACATAAATGTACTCATACGCATGCATACACATACATAAATGCTCACGCCCCCACATTCACACATCCATATACATAACATTCGAACTAACAAACATACTCACAGTCGCACGTACAAAAGACACCCACGCATACCTATCTGTGAATACATACACATACAACCCATAATACCTATGCGTATACACACATCAACATATTCACACGTATTCAAACATACATAAGCACCACCCATCTTGTCATCCCTTTGTGAAATGCAATTTTTCGTTATTTGAAGCCCTACTCTGGCTCTTGCCAGGGGCCGCAATATAGCCAGGCCATAAATATGGTCTAATGGCAGAACGCGGTTTCTGGGACCTCTTCATGGGTGATCCTCATCCACATGGTGGCACTTTGTGTCGTCGTTTGTTTATTGCTTGTGAGATGTCCTAGTGGGGTTAAAGAAGATAAAGATAAGCACCCATAAACATACAAACATCCCTATATCCTTAAGCACGCTTGTGATAGCAATATACTTTCTTCAAAACGTATACAAGTAACTGTGGATAGATTTTGCCTTGTCAAAGAAAAACTGAAAAGGCAGCAGCAGCAGTAGTAGTAGTAGTAGTAGTAGTAGTAGTAGTAGTAGTAGTAGTAGTAGTAGTAGAAGAAGAAGAAGTAGTAGTAGTAGTAGTAGTAGTAGTAGCAGCAGCAGCAGCAGCAGTAGCAGCAGCAGCAGCAGCTTTAGTTTTAGTAGTAGTAAAAGCAGTCGTAGTTGTTGTTGTTATAGATGTTACTGCTGTTGTTCTTGTAGATAAGGAACATTTACAAACTTACAGCGTGGCTACAATCCAGTT